AAACTTTTCCTCAACTGATCAGTATTTATTCAAACAGCAAATTTTGAGAAACATACTAACATTAACACATTAAATGTTAATAAAAAATAAAAAAAACATTTTGATCAAACATATAGCAGTGTCTGCCTGTATCATGGCATCCATCTACTGCTCCGAAACACTTTTTCTTACCCCTGCAATGGGCATTATACAAGTAACAACCTATTAAAAACTAAAGGAAACACTGTAAAATGTTTACCTTAGGGTTTGCGTGACCAGCCTCACAACTGTAAAGCCTCTTTTACGAGACAAAACACAGACATCCTAAGCATACGTTTATTTACAATGTTTCTCACTTCTTTCCCTTTTGCTCCCACCTCTTCCTTATAACGTTCATGGGGTCTTTTACTTCCATCTTCACTCAGCAGCAGAACTGTCCTTTACCCTGACTACAATAAGGCATCTGTTAACAACTGATTGTCTTCATTGGAAATACATAAATATTCTTTAAAAAAAAAATACATAGGGGAGAGTAAGGTAAGATGAACAGTAACTTGTGCAACAGTGCACAGATTTTAAGTGACCCGATAGCATTCTGCGATTAAAGGAGCAGATTTGTTCCTTGCATGCCAGAGTAAGGTAAAATAATGTGAAGATAACAAAATAAGATATCTAGATAAATATATCAACAATTACATGGTTTGGCTAAAGATTAAACTAACTACCTAAACATGCACTTTTTCCAAAATGAGAGACAGATTCATCAGAGATGGTGGTTCAGCTTTCAGCATTATTATTCTCTTATATACTGTATACGATATTTTTTCATATACTTAACAACTAAAGAATAAGGAAGAAAAAAAGTAGTTGGTGACTTGGTCAGGGAAATTTACAACCGAATATGCAAAGTACCATTACACCGGCTTGATTGAGAATTTTAGGGCAAATGGACCTTATTTCTTGGGAAAAACAAAGGGTGCCCTTACCAAGTGAAATCAAACTCTTTTTTTTAATTTTTTTTAATGAAATGATGCATGTTTTTTTTTTTTATGTTCCACAAACGTAAAAAAAAAAAAAAAACTCTAACCATTACACAGCCAGGAACCTGCAAGGAGGAAGTAACACTTCATTGTAATTTGTGATTGGAATGGTGAACAGATACACATGGATACTTGTTATAAACATGAAGGAAATTGGATTGAATTTTTCCCATGTTTCTTGATGTTAACGAATATATTTTATACAAATAAAAAAAAAGTGTTTACAACAGATAGCTTAATGATGTGAACTCTTCTTTAGAATTTCAGTGTAGCAGTATATAATTGGTATATTAGTTTTATCCCTCATTTCTCCCAACCTAGGGCACCTTAATTAAACATGGCAAATCTTACCTCACTCTCCTCTAATTAATAAATGAGCAGTTCATGTGTTTGTTTTCTGCTACAACAGCACTGCAGACGTGTGAGAAAGAGAGATGATTACTGATTAACTACAAAGATGTGGTCTGTAATGAGTCTATAAAGGCAAACAATATATTAATATATGTAGTCTAATGGTCACAATCAAGAGTGTCACATTAAATGGCAACAGGGGAAATTGAAATGAAAAACTAAATGAAAAACTCTGAATTGCAAATTTGTTTTACATAAAACAAGCTGATAAACTCTGTTTGCTAAGTATACAATGAACAGGTTTAAAGCACTATTTTCCTCTCACCTGTATCATCAGTTTACGTCACAATTCTGTCCAAATGAGAACAGATTTATATCAGAAGTCTTAAACTACATAAATGAAACAAAACACATCTTCATATGGCCTACTGACTGATAAAATGTCTCTAAATTAAACCATTCCAGATTGTAGAACCTGGGAAGTAAAGAATTATCATTATCATGTTATGCTGTTTCTATTTAAACAGCTACCTCACAAATGTTGAATGTAAACCTCACAGTGTACATGTATTAACCCATCACTGAGAAGAAACCCAGGTTATTTGTACATCAAGTATTATATATAAAGCAAGGGAAAGAAAAAACTGTGTGGCTCACAATTGTTGTAATACACCGTATTCTTGTTTATAAATGAGGGTGAATGGTCGCCAACCCATCAGCGTTCAATGCTCATTTGAGGTAAACATGAAGAGAGGTGTCTGCACATTGTCACCCGGGGCTGTGAGTATGAACAGTTAGCAGCCTCTTATTCAGTGTTTACCTGTATTATGACAGTCAGCTATTTCCGCCGCTGAAGCTCAGCTCCTCCAGCCAGAAGAGGACATATTGTCACCTCTAGCCAGATGGAGTGGATGAGCCAGTGGGCTACGATGTTATGATGAGCTACAACAACTCTTTTCTGTTACTAGAATTTTCTTCAGGTCAAACACAACCGTGGAAGTAGCTGTTGTTTGAGTACTGGTCATCATCAAAGTATTCCCAATGGCATCAGGGGTTATCATGCATCATCCCACAGTGGACACCTGGAGAAAACGGATAAATATACATCTTATGACCTCAAATGTACAATTTAAGAGTAACTGCAGTTTTAAGGACTGTTTCCAAAAAGGTAAGTGACCGTTTATTAATACACTTGGTATATTAATCATGTTGTCAACTACTTCTATTGCTATTTCATGGCCACTGCTATTTAAAATTGAATTATAATAAGACTTTCTGGAGATTTTCAGGTCAAACACAGGGACTCAGGTCATAGCCTGTAAATCAGCATTTTCTAATAAAAGTGTGCTGTATTTGCATCTATGGGAAAGCCACGTACCCAGCAATTTAGTCTATAATATGACTATAAAAATATGATTAGAGAATCCAAAAAGAAATTCATGAATTGTATTTTTGTGTTAAGGGCACACCTTCACCATTTAGAAACTTCACATTTAACCTGTATATTTATATGGCTACACAAATTGACCACCATGAAACCACCTTAATCTGCGGAGTCCTAATTAAAAAAATCATTTGTGCTCTTTCGACTTAAGAGAAAGCAAACAATCTCTGCATAGTATCAATGAACATGACAAACAACTATTTTTCAAATGTTTTAGAAAACATTTTCCTCCAAACAACATAAAAAAAAAACATGTAAAGGCTTTCATTTACATAATTTTCTCTGTCTTTGATATAACTAATATGTGTTGACTCTTACAAAACACCAGACACACGTTTATGAGTTGACACACTCAAAAGCTTCAAAAGCTTGAGAAGTAAGATTTTTAATGTTTTTTAAAGACATTTCTTATGCTCATCAAAGATGAGTTTATTTGATCAAAAATACAGAAAAAAATGTAATATTGTGAAATATTTTTGCAATTTAAAATAACTGCTTTCTATTTTAATATAATGTATTCCTAGGATGCAAAGCTGAATTTTCATCAGTGTTTACTCCAGTCTTCACAGAAATCATTAAAATATGCTGATTTATTATCAGTGTTGGAAACAGTTGTGCTGCTTAATATTTATTTATTATTTTTATGTATTTATTTCTGGAACCTGATACTTTTTTCAGGATTTTTTGATTAATAAAAAAAAAATATATATAAGCATTTATTTAAAATCGAATGCTTTTGTAACAATATACACTACTGTTCAGAAGCTTTTGGTCAGTAAATTGTTTTTCTTCCTTTTTCTTTTTTAAATTTTTTTTTTTCCATCAAGGATGTGTTAAATTGATAAAGTGATAGTTAAGACTTCATTTTAAAAACATGTATCTGGTGTTTTGTAAGAGTCAAAACATGCCAACACATATTAGTTATATCAAAGTGGTTTGGGGGCAAACAAGGAAAGTCTCAAAGGTTTTTGAACAGTAAGATTTGTAATGTTTTTTTTTTTAAAGTCTCTTCTGCTCACAAAGCCTGCATTTATTTGATCCAAAGTACAGCAAAAAAAAGTCAAATTTTGACATATGTTTACTATTTAAAATAACTGTTTTTGAATACATTTTAAAATGTTATTTATTCTTGTGATTTCAAAGCTGAATTTTCACGTCACGTGACCCTTCAGAAATAATTCTAATATTCTGATTTGCTGCTCAAAAACATTTATTATTATTATTATTATGCTGAAAATAGCTGAGTAGATTTTTTTTCAGGTTTATTTGATAAATAGAAAGTTCAGAAGAACAGCATTTATCTGAAACAGAAATCTTTTGCTATATTACAAATGTCTTTATCATCACTTTTGATCAATTTAAAGCATCCTTGCTAAATAAAAGTATTCATTTCTATAAATTGTTTCCCCCCAAAAAAACACTGACTCAAAGCTTTTGAATGGTATAGTGTATAATGTTAGAAAAGCTTTTTATTTCAGATAAATGCTGATCTTTGGATCTTTCTATTCATCAAAGAATTATGAAGAAAAAAAAAAAACATGTGACACTGAAGACTGGAGTAATGATGCTGAAAATGTAGCTTTGATCACAGGAATAAATTACATTTTAAAATATATTCAAACAGAAAGCTGTTATTTTAAATAGATAAAATATTTCACAATATTACTGCTTTTGCTGTATTTTGAATCAAATAAATGCAGGCTTGGTGAGCAGAAGAGACTTCTGTTCAAGTGACTAGTATACTGTTCAGAAACTTGGTGTATATCTATATAAGTGTGAAAGAGAGAAAAAGTCTGTCTAAACTCATTAAAACAATTACAATGGAACTAATCATTCCTAACACTAAGTGTTGATAAATTATAAGATTGTAATAAGTGAATGAGGCTGATTGGTAAACAGTAAAACTAGTTATTATTAATTATTACATATAAGAAGAGGTCTGAGTAACCAATTAAAATGATAGTGCTTCAAACAGTCATCACCTCAAAAGGCCTGAGGAAAAAAATGCTTTAAAAAATGCTTAAAAAAAAAAAAAAATCTTACCTTTCCGTCTTTCTTATCAGAACACAGAGCCACAGAGCACCCCTGGTGTTCATAATCAGTAATGCAAGAGAAACTTTCTGGTTTCCCCCCTGAAGAACGCATCTGGCCCTTCAAGGATCTGATGTTGTGTCTCCCCTGGGAACATGAACCACACTTGCATCTCACAAGCAGCCAACCTTACCACGACTCCTCTCGGGGGTCATCAGGTATGGGAGGTGGTTCTGATCGTGCTTGTGACTGGACCCCTGTCTCTTATTACCATCCTGGGCAACGCCTTGGTGGTCATCTCCATCAGAGTCAACAGTCAGTTACAGACCATCAGTAACTACTATCTTCTGAGTCTGGCGGTGGCAGACTTGATCTTGGGTACGGTGTCAATGAATCTATATACAGCATACATAATCATGGGCCGCTGGACACTGGGACAACTAGCTTGCGATCTATGGTTGACACTCGACTATGTAGCGAGCAATGCCTCAGTAATGAACCTGCTGGTCATAAGCTTCGACAGATACTTCTCAGTCACACGACCACTGACTTATCGAACAAAGCGAACTCCGAAGACAGCAGCAGCATTGATCGCTCTCGCATGGGTGGTGTCGTTTGTGCTATGGGGCCCTGCTATCTTGTTTTGGCCTCATGTGGTTGGACGACCATCTGGAGCTGAAGCCCAGGCCTGTTCTATCCCGTTCTTGAAGGTTCCTCCGCTTACATACGGTACTGCAATCGCTGCATTCTACCTACCAGTCACTATCATGATCATTCTTTATTGGCGAATTTATTGGGAAATTGAGAACAGGTTGGACAAACAATCAGTGTACCAAACCAGTACCAAGAGCAGCTTAAGTTGCTCAAAGGAAACAAATTCCAGAAAAGGACAAGGCAAAACCAAAGACAAGTCTGTTGGGTGTTTCAATTCAACGAAAAACAAAACCGCAGCCATTTTGCAGAAGTCAGCTCATGAGAGTTACAAAGAGGCTTACAGCAACAGTAGCTGGAACATTGAAGACGAGGACGAAAGCGCAAAACATGAGCAGAACATCAAGGCGAGAGCATCTTCATCCAATCCAACTGCAATTGAGTTGACGGATCTGCAAAGTAGATCAGAGAACACCAAAGATGTGCAAGAGTTCAACTCATCAGCTGGGCGTCCCACCAGACACCAGTCCCACTTAAAACCACCCAAAAATTCAGACCACAGCATTTGCCACCAGTTCAGAGCTAAACATCGCATCAATATGATCATTAAAGAGAAAAAAGCGGCCCGGACACTAAGTGCCATCTTGTTGGCTTTCATCCTCACGTGGACGCCATACAACATCATGGCTTTGGCTTCCATTTCATACTGTGTGCCAGAGAAGCTCTGGCAGCTGGGATACTGGCTGTGTTATGTAAACAGCACGGTCAACCCCATGTGCTACGCCCTCTGCAACGAGTCCTTCCAGGTCACCTTCAAGGCACTGCTACTTTGTCGGCGTGTAGATAAACGAAAGTGCGACACAAACAGCTGGAATCGCCATGCCTCTGTGAGGCAGAATAAGTCTTGCAGTAATGTGTAATCTTTCACTCTATCATTTGTCATTCTTCAGCATGGGTGCTTTTAATTGCTCAATGATCCAGATACAGTGCTTCAATTGGCAGACACTTTTTTTAGTGAATAATATAGAGTTTGTGTTAACTCTGAATATGACTTCTTCTGATTCAGATTTTACATCTATATTTATATGACTAAATTTGTGCGTGCCTCTGCTTTTAGACATTACACTGTCACTGCAAAACTGCTTGATTCTGAATTTTGTCAGAAACTAATGGGAAGTTACTTAGCCTTGTGGTCTTATGTTTTTGGCTACATCAAAAGTTATAATAGTACTTTAAGATCCAACAAAAATAAAAATCAATTGCATGTTATTTTAAATCGCCGTATGTATAGACACAATTGATAAAGAAAACATTTAGCAGCCACTTGACAACAACAATATTGAAAAATTCTTCTGGTGCTATTTTGAATGTGCTTATTAAATAGTACTTTCAAAACAAATATCAATTTAATAAATATCATTATCTATTTTGTAAATAGCAAAAACACACGTTTAGTGTAGTGGTTCTCAAAAAAGGGACAGGGGCCCACAGGGGGACCTCAGCAAATTTCCAAGAGGGACTGAAGATGACTTAAAATGTTTTAAAACGAGCTTTAAAAACAAAAATCAAGATATTTCTTAATTCACCCTCAAACATTTGGAATTTGAATCTAATTCTAATTAATTTAGTTGCCTATTTTAATCTGTGGACACTCCTAATTTCAGTTAATTAAATAGGGGATGTACGTATTGAATGTAAATGTACACAGCACAGGTACTGAACAAGTTAACAAGAACTGATGAACACAACACATACAGTATGTTAGTTTTATTTTCTTGGGAAAAAAAGTGTACCATACACCAAAAAAAACAAAAAAACAAAACAAAACAAAAAAAATTAATCCCCCAAAACCAACCTAACAAACAATTTCTTTAAAAAATAAAGAAAAATTAAATTACAAAAGAAAAACAACAACAAATGGACACTTTGTCTTTAGATAAAGGGTGTAGTTAAAAAAATTATAAAATCAGGAAAAGTAAACTCTTATATTTTCTAATTATTTAATAATAGTTAGTTGGCTGATACCATAAACCTAAGTCATCAAATTTCCCATAATCCTTTACTATGCTGGTACTGTGAGAGTACAACAGAGTGAGTGTAAGCTAAATGTTATGTGCTATGTATAAATGACCATGTAAGGTAGACATGTAGTAACTAAATTGAGAATGAAAAATAAAACAATGATAAGATCCTGTACATGTTATGAATGCCATGAGCAATAATTAATGTATCAGTATCTGATATAAGCCTAAACCTTTATGGAGGTCTGCAGTTATTTTGAAACTGAAGGCTTACAGAGTATACAGAACTCATCTCAGGTCAATTCATTTCTTCATTCAGTATACATTTACAAAGAACAGGGTTAAAAGAGCCAACCGCGTGCAGTGCTCTAGATTTATTCTTTAAACAAAGGAAGTTTTGGCTGGATTGTGAAGATAAATGGCAATAGAAGACAAGAAAATAGGGGAACATTTGAAGCCGGCTGTATATCTGCCCCAGCTTGCTCTAGGAAGTCAAACTAAACTCTGGCAAATTCAGCAAATACCATACTTCACATCTGTGTTGTACTGAATTTAGCACTGAGTCGCTTCAACAACCTCTCTGTCTTCGCTACCATAATTCACTCCCTAATTAAAGGTACAGCTCAGCCAAAAAAAAAACGAAAATTCCATCACCATTTAGGTACGCTCATGCCATTCAGAAGCTGTATGACTTACTTTTTTCTGTGGAACGCTAAAGAAGATATTTTGAAGAAAGTTGATATTGGGATTTTTTTTTTTTATTGACCATACAATAGGAGTCAATGGTGACCAAAGCAAGACATTTCTCATTTCCAATTATGTTCCACAGAAGAAAGTTATTTCGGTTTGTGAGTAAATGTTGACAATTTAATTTTTGTGTGAACTATCCCTTTAAGGGATGACAATTTTACCAGTTTTCTTAAAAATTAAAGTTAAATGGCACATATCTGATGCCATAAAGATGCCAATACAGACCTCAGATTAAAGGACTGAAAGCAGTCTCTCGGTTAAGCCATACTAAAATGAATTTACTGGCTAACCAAGCATGTGATGCTCAAAGTCATTCTGATATCTCTATTCCTCAGTGGTGGTTTCTGGGTATTACTGATTTTTTTTTTCTTCAGAAAAACTGAAATTCTGTTATTTAACACGGCTCACGTCCAGAGGCAGACCTTTCGGTTTCTGCGTGCCAGAAGAACTTTTGCTCAATATCCTACACAAGCTGGCAACTGGAAATTGGCAATTTAATGTTAATTTAATAAAAGAATGTTTATGTTATATGTATGGCTGTAATCAATGATGTCATCACAGTAAACATGACAATTACGGCATTGAAGTTTTTGTCCACGTATCTCCTTACACTATAGAAATTTTTCATGTACTCAACAGCGAATCCTTCAGAATTACTTTGAAAGGGATTTACCATTCTTGGTAGAATCTATCAAACTATGAATATCCACAAACTGATCTCAGTTTAGCCTGCAATACATTGTTCTATATCTCAATTAATTGCCAACAGTTATTATAGTTTCTGGACGTTCTTTTATACTGGACTTTTTCTTTTTTTAGTCCTCTTTCAATCCTATTCCTCATTTACCTGACGTCTTAACCATCTTTAAATAAATTTTAACCGATTTCTGAACATCTTAAGGACGTCTAAAAATGCAAAAATTAATAACAATATAAAAATATAATTTAAAATCACTACCCTTACCTGCACCATTAACCCATTAGTTAGTAAAGAGCTCACACACTGACTGCTAGACTCTGTGCTTCAGTGGCATATACAGATGCCATCACTACAAAAAAAAAAAAATCCCCAAGCAACTCCCATCATAATAAACCATTTCTATTGTTTAGGATCTTAAATACGGCACACCTTTATATGCTATACAAATTTATAAATATACAAAAACACATTATCGTTTCTTTTCTATTTTGCTTATTATGAACAAGCATTGGCATGCTGATTGGTTTCAACTATTCCTCTCTGTGATAAGCACAGTGTCAGTACAGAGTATTTTGTATATGGCTGAATATGCAATATTTATTGTGGCTGATATAAGCTGCAGCTAATTATTTGTTTTCTGTTAAACAGTGTCTGCAGAAACGGGTGAAAATATCAGGTCTAATATGAGCAGGAACTCAAAAACAGAGTCATAATATTCTCATAGTGACTTCCTCCAAGTATGTACTGCTGTAAGGGTCAAGAGAGTTTCTGACTGGCTTTGACATTTGCTATGGAAGTGCTGTGTTAGTTGTGGGGTGGCTAATAGTTGAAAACAAAGAGCAGGGGTAGTTTGAAGCTTGGAACTGTGTAACAGTCATACTGAGATCAAACCTGCTGAGATGTGAAAGAGAACTAAGAGAAGGAGGGCACTCTTTTTCTCACTCCCTCTCTCTTTTCCTCCCTCCATTTGTGTCTGCGGGCCTGGGCAAGGTGGTCGTCCCTTTTCTGTTCCACTACAACTTCTGTTCGACCCGTTTCGTTTGCTTAAATGGAACAGACAAATCTTGGAGGGAACTATGAGAAAGAGGGTCTGTCTTTCCAAAAGGCCATCATGAGGGCGGTGTATTCTAATTCTGGTATATAGAGGCCTTCTCTTTCAAGAGGGCCAAACACAGATGACAACTCCAACTTCCTGTAAAGAATAAAATAATGCAATTATTCACTTATGATAATACTTGTTGTATAAAGATTATACGTTTCACTTATATATATATATAAGATAGATAATACTTATATTTCATTCATATTGTTCTTTGAACTAAACTGACCTCTTTATCAAAACAAACGCGTGATTCAGCTCTATGTAAAGGCTGGAATACACTACATGACTTTTAAAATCTGATTTTAAATCGTACAGATTTGAAAAACACTAGGCATCATACATTTGCCGTAAATAGTCACAGAAGAAAAACTGGGCATCGTACACTAAACGACTGAGGATCACACATTACCAGACTTTCAAGTAATTTCGTACACAAACTCATGCAGAAACAAATGCCTATTTGCTAGGAGACACATGACAAAATGAAAACAATTTGTTCAGCTCAAAATATCAAACATGTCTATTGTGCGACTGGATGGACATAGTCTGAAGCTAAAAAAAAAAAAAATCTGTGATCATCATACACTATGCAGTTTCTATGAAATTTGTCAACTCAAATCTGGCTCTGACTTTCGGCAACTAGCGTCAACTTGCTCAGACTGTAAATCAGGGCAAAAATCTGGGCAACAGTCGCATAGTGTATTTCAGCCTTAAGTCAGTTCTATGTCGTTCGATGAGCATAGGCTACTGTTCAAAATGTATTCCTGTGATGGTAAAGTTGAAATTTCAGCAGCCATTAATCCAGTCTTCAGTGTCATATGATCATTCAGAAATCATTCTGACATGCTGATTTGGTGCTCAAGAAACATTCCATATTATTATCACTGTTAAAATGGAAACCTAAGACCAGGACTCTTTGATGAACAGAAAGCTCAATGGAATTTATATGAAGCAGAAATCTTTTGTAACATTATAATGTCTTTACTGTCACTTTTGATCAATTTAATGCATTCTTGCTGAATAAAAGGTATTAATTAAAAAAAAAACAATGTACCCCCAAACTTTAACAGTGGTGTGTGTATTATTGCAGGTTGCTTTACCTTCAGGAGGTTCAGACATGGGGGGCGAGAGGCAGTACATGTGGTAACCGCGATCACAGTCATCACAGAACAACAGCTGGTCCTGCAGCAAAGCATAAGAAACTACTTCACAGAGAATCCAAATAGGGATGCATAATAAACCGAGGGAGGGAACAGTTTTACACAGTAATTGTCTTCCCTGTGGAGGTTAGGTAAAATACAGCTGATACATTTTTATGGCTGGATAGTGGTAAACAAACTCACATCATTTTCTGATGTTCCACATATATTACAGCACTTGCATTCAATGCACTGCCATCGATAGGTTTTCACAGCAGCCATCATCACTGGAGTGAACTGCAGACACGAGGGGTGACCTGAGAACAGAGAATCAGTCAATGATAATTTGGTCGAGAAAAATCCAAAGAAAGCAAGCAGGTGAAAGTATGTGTGGTTGTTTTACCAGAACGGCCACAGTCTGAGCAGGACAAAAGCTCTTCTGATTGGCCGGTTTTCTGGTTCAGGTTGGTATCTCCCAAACAAAAATCACAGTACTTGTTTGGCAGAGCCAAACCGTCTGGGCCCTTCTTAGGAGCTGATAGAACAGACAGAAAGAGAACAGAATACCCATCATCACTCATAGCATTCAATGAAAATGACACAATACAACACTACCCCTACAAGCTAAAACATTTGTTTAAAATTAGTTAACCATCACGTAACTGGCATTTTAAGGTCCTGTGAGATGCTGTCTACGTAAAGCATTCCAAACTGTTCACTTACAAGCTTTCATTTAGAGCGCCACCTTAGAAGGCAGGCAAAGCACATGATTTTGAAATAAATCCAAAGTGTACGACACTGTGCCAACCAGTTAGTTTATAAGAAATATACTTTTAGTTTCATTGGCAATAGATTGTGTAAAATATTTCATGCCACTCAAAGTGACAGTTAAATGGCCTCTGTTCAGTTGGCTACCAGAGTCTGTGATCAATTGCTTACTCTTCGGTTCGTCTTGTTGGGGTGGAGTTGGTTCACGAATGTCCATCTCATCTTTCTCCTCCCCCTCCTCCTCAGCCAAGTGAGAATGGGCATAATGATAACTGAGACCAGGCCTATTCTTATAGCGCTTCCCACAGACTACACACATACACACACACACACACACACAGAGCACAATCATGGGTTATAAGCACCTATAATTGTCATTATGCACTGAAACATCATCTGTACTTTAGCACATGGGGCACTACTGCTTCACACCAAAAGCTCTCTCATGCATGAGAGTTCAATCCACCGTGCCTGGCTCTCCAGATGCTCATTAATTCACATTCTTCAACAGCATGGCAAATGTTAATATGCTTGCTAATAAGATCGCCCAATATGCCCCACTTAAACAAAAGCAATAGTTCACCACAAAAGGAACAACCTGTCATTTACTCAGCTGTGTCGTTCCAAAATGGTATTACTTATTTTCTTGCATAGAACCAAGTGCCTTTTTTTCCAATACAGTGAAAGCAAATAGGGACCAACAGCTGGCCAATTTCACTGAACAAGAGCAGCTTGGTCATTCTGTTAGATAACTCCTTTAGTTTTGAACACTAGAAAGCTATTTGGTCAGAACAACATGATGGCGAGTGCATGATGACGCAACTTTCACTTTTGAGTGAACTATCCCTTTAAAACCATAAGCACTACACATTCAGGAAATGGGAGTCCTTTGGCAACTTAAAAGCAGAGGCACTATTTCAGTCTTATCAGATAAAACAGGAAAACAGGGAGTGACCTGGAGATGAAGAGAAGAATGAGTATTACAAGCAGCAATGTAAAAAACTTAGAAATGAGCGTTACAGAGAGACAACACAGAGCAGGTAATGAAGCACAAACAGAGGTGAATAATAGAGGGAGATAAAGAGAAGCAATTTACATTTCAAACAATTAATATTAACTTGGGGGGAGGGGTATATTCCAAAGTACTGTCATTTTTGTGACAACAATAGCTAATTAAGATGCATGTTTCTTAGAAAATGATTTGTGGAAAAAGGAGTATGCGAGTGTGTAAAGAGGAGAAATGTAGAGTACAATCAATTGTATACTAAGAATATAATAGCACAAAGCACTGAAGTCTAATAAAAGACTGAAATGCATCACAGCTGATTAACTACATACTAAACAAACCAATTGCAATATTGTTGCATTGGGAGCTAGACATGGATATACACTACTGTTCAAATTTGAGTTCAGTAAGATTCTTTTTTGAAAGAAATTAATTATTTTTTAAGCAAGGATGCATTAAAGTGACCAAATGTGACAGTAAAAGTTTACATTACAAAAAGATTTCTATTTAAAATAAATACTGCATTGATATCAACATTGATAACAAAAATATATGTTTCTTTGAGCACCAAATCAGCATACTAGAATTATTTCTGAAGGATCATGTGACACTGAAAACTAGAGTAACAGATGCTGAACATTTAGCTTTTCATTTCAAGAATAAATCACATCCTAAAATACTGTATATTAAAATAGAAAATTGTTATTTTAAATTGTAATAATATTACTTATAATAATGTTACAGTTTTACTGCATTTGTAATCAAATACATGAAGTCTTGGTGAGCAAAATACTTTTTTTTTATTTTTCTAAAATTCTTTCTGACCCCAAACGTTTGAACAGTAGTGTAATATTTTATCGCCAGGTCCCTGCTGATACTTATTCATAAGAACCATGAGAGTAAATTGTTAGTAACAGAAAGTTGTAAGTATAAAGTGCTTTTCAAACAGTTCACAATGAGAGCACCTCAGTCTGGGAAGTAATATTATGTCATGCTGCAACAAACAACGTATCTGAACATTTCACATGGCCCAGAGGCAGTAAAGCTTGTTTGGGGGGGGAATAAATTCTGTGGCAAAATGTCTTCCTGTTAAGCTGCTGTCACACTTAACGCTGTTCAGGCAGTTTTCCTTACGCAAAAAAAAAAAAAAAAAAGTATAAAATGTAGCCATCAATAACCCCTAGTTTCAGAAAAGTTCAGTGCGATCTTGTCAGGGACAAATGTTTGCAATGCACACAAAATAAAGAGAAAGAGGGAAACCAAGAAAGAAAAAGACAAAGGGAATGAGGAAAGGAGAACTAGACGGAGAGAGAAAGAGAGAAATATACCTCTTTCGGAAGATTTTGAAATATGCTTTTGTTTGAAAGTGTCTGAAAGAGAGAAAAAGAGAAAGAAAAAGGAGAGAAAGAAAGACAGAAAGACTCACAGACTGACAACAAGAATCAGGAAATCAGGAAAAATAAACTCATAAAGAACATCTGCATCACAATCACAGTATCATGACACATTTAAGGGCAAAGACACAAATGCTGAGAATAGAGATCCAGAACTATGAAAGAACAACACGAAACCTGAAACCAAATGGATATCAAGTAGAAATTGTCCTCTGGTTTAGAAGATTAAGCTTACTAGTTTAACCAGGCTATATGTGGGATTGGTAAACCACAGCATATAGTATAAAGGAATATGCTTTTTGTTTTCAACAAAATTTATTTATTTATGTACTTCTGGTTTCATGAGTAGACAAGAAAGAGCTAACTGACAAATTATTCTCAAGTTCAGTGTGTCAGATGATGGACAACCTTGAAAATGATCATATTTGGTATTTTTTGCAAGCTTTCATGTGGTGAAGCTCATGATGACAGCTTTGCTGAGAAGGGGTGACACAGATCTTTGATTGTGACTGGATGTGTTACAGTACAGCTCAGCCTTTTTATAGCAAAGAGAAGTCGATCTCCAGATGAGATCACCGAGAGGTCAGCAGGCTGAGTCATGTGGTTTCCTTGAATGCTGTATATGACTCACTGTCACAAGCGTACGGTCTGTCTCGATCCTCCAAAGCAGCTGCTGCTTCCAACTTCTTCCGAGCGCTGCTGACACCACGACCCTGTGAAACCGTTTTTATCATAAATGTAACCTTTTAGAGGTGTTTTGTTGACACCAATTAGGTTGTGTAAATACTATGTACATGCATGCAAGTTTATAAGATCAAGAGTTCACCTTTCCCTTGCCTTTTCCCCGTCTCTTTGGAGTATCTTCTTCATAATCTTCATCATCTAGATCATCTAGAAAATCATCTGGCTCCAAAATTCTCTACACACACAAAAGGGTGAAAACCAATCAGACAGAATAACTAAGCAAGGCGAGATTTCAATGAAAAACAGTGACAGCTCCAATCAAAACCATAAGCTGTTTTCTCAGTACCTTACGGACCCTGCTGCTGGGGTTTAGTCCCCCGGAAGAGTACTCTGTAGAGCTGGGCTCCTCTTCCGCTGTGCGGAGCTCCAACCCGGATCTTTTGTCCACTGGCTCTCCCTTCAGAAGTGCCTCTAAGCTGCTGCCATCACTGGAGAAAACATCTTTCTTAAGCCCCAGATCCAGCTCTGAAACATACACACGCACATTCACATCCATAGGCAACTGGACAGAGATGGATAGAAATGTCATCAAAACATACAATTTAATATAACGTTTAATTACATGAAAATGAAACAAATACCTAAACACCAATCTATGAATGGCCTACACACAGGGAATTACATGAAACAGCCACAAACAACATATCTCTATTTTTATTTGACAGAGGAAGTGAGTGGCTGCGTACCGGACTTTAGAGATGGGAAGGCTAAATGAGGGTCCTCTGGAGGGTTAGCTCTCCTCTTCTTTCTCCAGCGTCGTGCTGGATATGTGTACAATTGACCTGGGGCAACACCTTTGGAGAGAGAGACATGAAAAATATACATACAGTCAGTCATGTCTTATGTGAAAATGAGGGAAGGCATAAAAACATGTTAAAAAAAGTACATTGCAGGCCTTGCAGTGTAATTATTTAATACTGGCATAATCAACGATAACAATAATACTGACAAGAAAAGTATTTATTGTTATTTACTTATTTGACAAGTATTTATGTAATGTAATGAATATATATTTATATTCACCCATTTACCTAAATTCATTACTTCAGAGTTATGTGCCTTCTAGAACCTTGCGTTCTGCAAGTGAACGGCGTATTATTGTGCCATCTCAAAGAGGCACAAAATCATTGACTGCTTTTATTGTCCTCATTTGTAAGTCGCTTTGGATAAAAGCGTCTGCTAAATGACTAACTGTAAATGTGTAAATATACATATATATATATATATATATATACATACACACACACACACATACATACACACACACACACACACACACACATACATACATATTATATATAAATAGATAGATAAAAGAAATTGACACATTGATAGTTATATAATTATATATGTATTGTTTACTTTAAATATTTTATTTACATAACTTAAGTTATATATACTGTGTACACACACACACACACACATACATACATACATATACATATATACATATATATATAAGCTTTCCATTGATGTATGGTTTGTTAGGATAGAACATTTTGCTGAGATACAACTATTTGAAAAGCTGGAATCTGAGGGTGCAAAAAAATCTAAATATTACGAAAATAGCCTTTAAAGTTGTCCAAATGAAGTTCTTAGCAATACTAATCACAAATTAAGTTTTTATATATTTACGGTAGGAAATTTACAAAATATCTTCATGGAACATGATCTTTACTTAATATCCTAATGATTTTTGGCATAAAAGAAAAATCGATAATTTTGACCCATACAATGTATTTTTGGCTAT